AGTAGTAAGTGAAAGTAACACATTTAACGATTGTAAAAAGAAACTATTTAACATTAAAGAAGAATAAAGACAAGTATTTACACCAAATTTAGAAATACAAAATAAACTTATGACAAACTGCAGTGTATTATAAATTAAAGTAGAGAGAAATGTGTGCAGAAATGTGTATAGACGTACAGCCGTAATGTGGCTGTAATCCTGTGATGGCTCACACCTGCACACAGAGATCCACAGACCGAGCTGAGACCCCAGACCGCTCACCCAGCTCTCAGCGGTGAATGCAGCCTCTTTCCCCGCAGTGTTGACACTGGCTGTAGTGGAAATAATTTTGCCTCAAAAATGTAAACCGTTCTCTTCCGCCCTGACGTGTAAAAGGCTTTCTTATTTGCCAGATCCAGCATTTGAATGTGCCTCAGTCCTACGTCTCAGAGGTGTAGAAGCACATGTTGGAGGCAGAGACTGACCATCCCTCTCTATGTTTTCCACAGGTGTGAAGCCAACGTGACAATCGCCTCTCAGACCAACAAGCCCATCCCAGAATGCACCATTAAGAACCGGCCCAGCCTGATGGTGGAGAAAATCAACCTGTTCGCCATGTTTGGGACGGGAATCGCTATGAGTACCTGGGTCTGGACCAAGGCCACCATCCTCATCTGGAAACGGACCTGGTTCAAGTAAGCAAACATAGAGAAAGTGAAATATAACATGGTGTTGCTGCTTCTCGAATACTATGTTCCAATCTCTCTTTAAGTCTCTTCTCATTGCTTGTGTTCACATCATGTCTACAGGCCTGTCCACGTCCATATATGGTTTTAAAAATATGTGAACCAGCCTGGGAAAAGTCTAATCTCTAAGCATCTAGACATGTACTAACCAAGCCAAGCTGCCCCGCCAAACATCCTGAAAAACTGGGGATTTTCACCCTGATCATTTAAAATAATGGAGGCATTAATTCAGTCAAATCCTCCCAGTGTGTGCTAGTGTGTTGGTTTTTATGTGCAGCGCTAATCCTTGTAAACAGAGCTCACAAGGGCGCACTGTGACTTGGAGTGTATTCACAGGAATTAATTCCCTTCTTGCTTTGAAAAAAACAACAATAATTCAACTTCTTTATTGTTTTCCTTAGTGGCTTAAGACTGTCTCATCGTGATGTGTCTGAAATCACAAATGTCCCATGACTGCTGATGGCATTAAGTGTGTCATCCTCAGTCTCTCTTTCTGAACCTGCCTTATGTTGCTGTGTCAGGATCCTCGGCCGCAGTGACGATGAACCCAAGAGGATCAAAAAGAGCAAGATGATCGCCAAGGCCTTTGCTCTGAGGAAGGAGCTCCACAAGGACCCCGAGAAGGAGCTGTCCTTCAGCATGCACACCGTGTCCCATGAAGGACCCGTTGGTGAGTGTTTCAGTGGAGTCATTCAAAATATCTCGGATCATAAACTGGGAATATTGTCTGCTATTAAAGTAATCCAGTGGAAGCACTGTCTGGTGATGTTTGCATACTTCCACCTTGTGGTTAATAGCCAAAACTGCAAGGCATCTGATCTAGATTGTTAGGGGAGTATTTATTTAGTTCAAACCCGTTTTAACACCTTTCTTCTTCTGGAAAGCAACATTTTAGTTTTCAATGGACAAACAAAATGCCTCTCAATTCTATTTTACTGGAACAGCTTTGCTAATTAGTAGATATTTAAAAACTCGGGCACGTAAGAAACATATCTGTGTGGATAGATACTACTGTAGGTAGGCTAAGTGATAAAGTGTTATTTTGTATTGGGACAACTACCTCTCTAAGTTTGAGTGTGTAATGAAATGCCGCCATGTGTGCTGATGTAAAGAACCTCTGTGTGGTATTTGTCTTTCAAATGTGCCCTGAAAAGATTTTCCGTTGGCTTCTCTGTGGTGTAGAAGCTCCACAGTCAGGGACAACTGTTATGTCTGTAGCTAAGACCTGCATGACACATGCCTCTGCTGGTGTAAGCTGTGAGGCTGCTGCGGCTGCCCTGATTGTTTAGCTTGGAGCCGTTCAGAGCTATAGAGGCACTGTGGGGGGGGGCATTAAGCACATGTTGGTTTCAAAGTTGTCCTCAGTTGTCCTTAAATGTAGAGTTGTGGTTTGTCTTTTCTCATTCATAGCTGGAATCAATTTTGAGCTAAATGAGCCGTCGAACGACATGTCATCAGCTTGGGCGCAGCATGTGACCAAGATGGTGGCGAGACGTGGGGCCATCCTGCCTCAGGACATCTCTGTCACTCCTACTGGCACCCCGGGTGAGAGCAGGAGGCCATGACTCTGACTTTACATCAACCCCTCTCCTTCTTTATACCCTTTTTCCTTTCATTTTCTTTATCAGAGGACTTCCTTTCACAGACTTATGCTCCGTTATGTCTTTACAGTGCCGCCTCCGGACGAGAGGAACCGGCTGTGGATGGTGGAGGCTGAGATTTCACCTGAGATGATAAAAAGGAAAAAGAAGAAGAAGAAGAGGAGGAAGGAGGTGCGCCTGGCGGAGGAGGCGGTGGACCCCCAGGCCTATCAGCAGCGTGAGTTTGGGCGCAGCTCCGTGCCTCGCCTGCCCAAACTGCCCTGCCACCCCAGCCTGGTGGCCAACCTGCGGGAGCACCAGAGGATGGAGGAGGAGGTCCTGCCAGGGTCCTACCCAGACCCCCTGTCCTATGAGGAGAGGTCCCCCTACCAGCCCTACCGGAGCAGTCGGAACAACTATGGCCACAGCCTGCTCTCCAACCCTCTGACCTTCAACGACCGCCCGGAGGATCTGGGTCTCGGCCCGCGCTGCCCCCCCTCAGTCTCCACCTGGCAGCCTAGTGGACCCTCCCGTTACCCCGGAGACATGGATCTCACAGACGGGCTGTCGGAGAGGTTGGCCCACGTGGCTCGGGTACCGGGGGGGCGAAGGGTCAGCTACGGACCCATTCACTCCAGAACCAATTTAATGGAGGCGGAGCTTATGGATGCTGACTCTGACTTCTGAGAGCTTTGTGGTACACAGACAAGTAATCTTCACAAAGTGCTGGATACTTTAAACTCCTTACAGTGCACCTAATCCCCAGAGGTGGAACTAAGCCGTCAGTTATTTCTTACTTCATCTTTCTTTTTAGAAGACAAAGGGAAAAGTGAAAAAAATATGTTGTGAATAAGTTAATGAAAAGATTATTTTTTATACTTTATGTTTGTCCAATGAAATTTCAAAAGCAACTCCGTGATGACAAGGTGAGTGAGGCAGCTAAACTTTATGTGGCTTGAAACATTTCTTTATTCTGAAACTGGTAGCAGACAGCGCTGTCTGTGACCACATGAACCCGGGCAGGGGGCAACTCGCTGTTGGATTTACCAGTGAGGACATTTGGAGATAAAGGCATTGGATAAATATTTTGAAAGTCTACCCTTTGATGGTGTTATAACCATTTCTACTGCCAAAGGGAGGGCAGTAAAACCGCACTCATACAGAAGACCATACAGGTAATAAATGCTACAGGCTACTTGCAAATACTGTTAACCAAGGTCTTCTTTTGTGCTATATTTGTATTATCTTAAATCTTTTCTCTTTCCACCACTATTTTGCCATTAAATGCTTGTGTTCATGTGCAGTTAACTTGAGGTACTAACAGATATCTCCCTTTCCCTGTTAATACTAATATCACTAAAATGACATACACACACTCACACAGAAGCCTGAAATAAATGATTAAATGTGTACAAGATGTTACATTTAGGGCACACAGATTCACATTGTGAAGATACACTTCCTCCATTGAACTAACATCTGCAAAGTTACATGATTTAGTTTTAATAATAATTTAAAACCAGGCTGAAAAGCAGCCCTATTGTCAACAGGAACACGACTGTTCAACCAGATAGCAGACATTAAGTTACTGAGCTAAAATATTAACATATTATTTGCAGGTGCTCTGTTGCCTGGTGCAATAAACCAACATTAGCTAATTTTATTTACCTGAATGGAATGGCTGACTTGTTCTCAATGAGTCCTTCTTGTATATTTCACTTAAAGTGTTATTTTGTTTTACTACAGTATTTTTACTTGAGTTAATTTGTTGTACATATTTAATATAAACTGGGCTTCACAACTGTTCCACTTTCTTTAGCTCAGTTGAAAATCTTTCATGTGAATTATTTTAGACTACACGGGGCTTAGGAGACATGTATTTCTCCTGAATGCTTCTTTTTTTCAGCGTCTCTCTTTCTAAATGTGTGTTCTGTAAATAGACTGTTCATAGATTTCGCAATAAGGGTATTATTTGTACAGATTTATGTATCCAATGACTTGATTACTCTGCTGATATGGTAAATAAAAAGGGAAGAGTATGCTATAAAAAGATGTCACTGTACTTGCTGTAACCAAAACTTCACTTAGTTTTACACTCAATATGGATACATGATGCTAAAGTAGACAGTGGTAGCTGGTGCTAAATAGTTTGTCTAATGTAATGTCTAGTTGTTCATGTGTATGATAGAGAATTATTTATGTCATCAGTAGATACCATATTGCTATGAATTAGACGATATAGGGAGTTTGGCAACAAAATGAAGCACAGCTGATGTCCACCTAAAAAGAGAAAAGATTGGTAATGTTTAAATAAAGATCGGTTTGGAAATGATGTTTTATGCCTTGAAAGATTTGGTTTTGGTAAGCTGTCAAGAAGATGTAAGCCTCGTGTTTATTCTTGTTTAGTTTCCCAACTCTGTGTAAAAAGGTACTGTCAGTTTGTGCAGCTGTACGTTTCTGTTTTGATATGTAAATAAAAGTAACCCTACACTCATCTGTGTGATTTGACGTGTTGCCACAGTTTGTGCAGAAAGGTTTTCACAGAGGTCCTTTTTATTCGACAGCTCAAAGATAGAAAAAAAGGTTTTGTTCTAGAGACTGCCTAGGTATGAGATCACACCAGCCACAACGCTAAAACCAGCCTGGGGCGACAAGTGGGGGGCCACCACTTCCAACCCATTAGTTATTTATATTTGCTTAAAAAGTTGCTCATATTTGTATACAAAATAATGTGTTCATATTATGTATTACACAGGGTTGGAAGGGTTACTTAAAAAATCTATTCCGTTACAATTATTAGTATAACAATTTTAACCAGTAACCCTAGTTAAGTATCAAAATATAAAAGTAATGTAACCTGATTACTTTCCTTTACTATGGATTACCTCAATGTCAGATGCAATGCAAATAAGTGTGTAATGTCAGACAGCAGAACAATGTGACCGTAGAAAAGAAGAAACCAAGATATTTCTAGGATCAGAAATGATTTGACTTATAGGAAACGCTGCCTTTCACTCAGCATATTCAGGCAGTAGCCTTAATACCAACACTGAAACACATGAACATATACTACAGTTTAAAAAAGCAGAAATTAAATCTGAGCTGACAGAAAATGCTGCGTTTTAGTTTAATACACAGCTCACACACACTATTTTATGATCATATATGTTGGGGAAATAATTTCCAAGGCCCATAACTTTGACCCAGTTTATCAGTTCATACTGTCCTGACTGAGCACACGCACCTGTAACCTTGGCTGCTGTGCTCTCAGTGTTTTGGCTCCCTGTTCCTGCCTGTTGGCGTCAGCTGATAGAGGTGTTATGATTCTATCTTGTTATGCTCAATGTTGATTATTCTCTCTGAACCAGCTAAATACATGGGTCTGGGGTAGAGTTCTTCAGAATTGATTGTGGCATCTCAACCGTGTGGTCAAACCGTGGCACATGACATGTCTTCTGAATTCTCCGGCCGAAGCCCATGGTGGTGGTGGGGTTATGGTATGGGCAGGCATATGTTATGGACGACGAACACAGGCCACTCGATTCACAACATTACCCTAACCCTATCCCTAACCCTAACCCTAACCCTAACCCTAATCCNNNATCACTCCTGTTCTGAAGTCTTTACTCTGGTTCCTCACTGACACTAAGAAAGTGGATCACATCACTCCTGTTCTGAAGTCTTTACTCTGGTTCCTCACTAACACTAAGAAAGTGGATCACATCACTCCTGTTCTGAAGTCTTTACTCTGGTTCCTCACTAACACTAAGAAAGTGGATCACTCCTGTTCTGAAGTCTTTACTCTGGTTCCTCACTGACACTAAGAAAGTGGATCACTCCTGTTCTGAAGTCTTTACTCTGGTTCCTCACTGACGCTAAGAAAGTGGATCACATCACTCCTGTTCTGAAGTCTTTACACTGGCTTCCTGTGTGTCAAAGAATAGATTTCAAAATACTGCTGCTGTTTATAAAGCTTTGAACAGTTTAGGCCCAAAATACATTTCTGACCTCCTGCTAAATGATGAACCATCCAGATCTCTCAGGTCTTCAGGGACTGGTCAACTTTCTGTCCCCAGAGTCAGAACTAAACATGGTAAAGCAGCGTTCAGTTATTATGCTCCAAATATCTGGAACAAACTCCCAGAAACCTGCAGGTCCGCTGCAACTCTGACTACTTTTAAATCCAGGCTGAAGACTTTTCTTTTTGTCGCTGCTTAATTGAACTATTCATATCTTAGACTGCACTGTAACTTTTATCCATGTACTTTGTATTCATGTACTTTTTATTCATGTATTTTTTCTTTTAATGTTTATTTTATTAACTTTTCTTTTTAATGACTGTTTTTAAATGCCTTTGTCTGGCATTTTTGTAAAGCACCTTGAATTGCCTTGTGTAGAAAGGTGCTATATAAATAAATTTCTCCTTGCCTTGTAATCCCCATTTTAAGAAATATTAACAGTAATCTGATTTTTTTTTGTCACTGTGACGGAATATATTTACCTTTTTTTTGTATCCTCCCTATGTAATCCCTTTAGATGTAATCTGTTACTCCCCAAACCTGGTTTTACTAAAAACGGCAGTATCAATTTGTAACACTAGGGGCGCTGTGGTAACAAAGGTTAAAATCCCACACACAGCGCTTTAATGGATAACAATTTTATTTTTTAAATAAACAGATACACGTAACACATACGTGTGAATAAAATAGGACGTAGGAGTGAGATTCATACATAAAATTGTAGTATTTTAAATGTTTCTGTGTTCGATATCCCTCCCCTCTGTGTGCCGGTGTAGGCTCTGCTGGTGGGTCTCGCGCAGATCAGCCTTCTTAAGGAGCGTGTTACCGCTCCTCGCGCAGATGAAACAGGAGCGAGACTCGGGGATAAACAGAGAGCATGTTCCTCAAGAAGTGCTCCCGGACGCCAGGAGATGTGGAGAGCCTGCGGCGAGGGTCAGCGGCGGACACCTCAGGTAAGACCAAGCTCCTGCCGCTGCTGGAGCTTTGTGGGACCTCCGTTCAACTAACACGCTGCTTTTTGGTCTTTATCTGCGTGTTTAAAACCCAGAGCAGGCTGTCAGATTCGTCTTTGTGTTTATTTTACATTTGACTTGGTCGTTAACGCGTTGATCATAGTCACCTGTGCTGCAAACTTCCCTCCAATTAGTGCTCAGCATTTGTCTCTGTCTGCTGTCTGCCTGACAACTAAAGAAATCACTTTCTTCCTAGAGTAAAGTGTGAATTTATTATAAACTTAACTGATGTGAACTTTGGTATACTTTTATTCAGACAGAAGCTTAGAAGTATATTGTTTACTGGTCTTTTACAGAACATTCTAACGTATCCAGAACATTTTATATTGTGTATTCTTTGTGATGTGTTTCTTTTCTACTGTAGATATTTATATATTCGCCGTTTAAAAACACGTTGTTAAAATAATGTCCCAATTTGGGAAGAATAAAGTATCAATCGATCTAGTGGTGAGGGCTGTGTCCTGAATCAGAAGCAGTTATTTCCTGTACTTTTAAAAGGGATTGTTTTGGGATGATCACCATTTTTGAACCCTAATCCAAGTTGTTTACATCATGTTGGTTTGGTAGATTGTCAGTCTGGATTATTCCCCACTTTCATTCTTCATCTAACACACTGGTTCTGTCATCTCCCCACAATTCATAGCTGTTTTCAAAAGGTGTCAGCTCACAACCTTTAAAAAGGCAGGAGTCAGATGTGAAGTCTGAATGAGACTTATCCTCTTCCAGTTGCCTTCAAAATACATCCACTGTTTCTTTACTGAGACACAGGGAGTAACAGTTAAGGCATTATAAGCAGATTACATATCAACAGTCCATGCATGCTTCTGTTTTAATTGCAAAGCAGAGCACTGAGTTCATGTCACTGTGTGCTGCAATGCATTTCCAATGTGATCTGTCCTGTAGACAGCAGTTGACAGGGGGGGGGGGCTGGCTGAGGTGACACTGCATGACTCTCAGGAGGTTTTTGTTAGTCACACACATCTCCATGGCTGGAGGGCTTTGGTGGAGGATGTCAATCAAGCTCAAACCTCTGCAGTGATAACCTGCAGGGAGGTGTGTGTAGATTGATTTTTTTTTTTTAGGCGGAGTCAGCGGAAGGACGGACACCAAAACAAATACCCCCCTCCAGATTTACCGTCCTCTCACCATCACTGTTTCTCTCTCTATACATCCATGGCTTTCCCTGTGTTCTAAGCATGAACACACACTGTTGCTCATCTGCAGGAACAGCATTGTTTGGCTCAGCCCGAGCAACTTATGCACAACAAAGAACAGAAAGTATGGAACAGAGAAACAGATATTCAATAAATCAGTCAAGTGTAATGAATTAGATCGGATCTACTCATCTCCAGACTTCATTTAGCATTTTTCTCTGCCCATGTCATGTCAAAAATATTACTGATGCAAACTCAAAAATAAAGAAAACAAGGTATTTTTGCCTGCAATAAGTACACAAATCTGCCAATAGAACAAGTGAACATTACTTAGTAAGATTTCTTGAAATAAGGTGGGATATTTAGATAAATCAGATGTTGTTGTTAGCTGGGGAAACTTATTTTGAACTATATTTGACCAGAATCAGGAAATGTTTTTACAAAACGAGCCAGAAATGCTCCAAATGTTTTTGTTTTCTGATTTGAATTTTTTTCTAATAAATATGTAAATAAAAAAGTTTAATCTGAGACACAACTCAAAATAAGATGTTGAGTCTTTGATTGAACAATATACTTAAGATGCATTGTCTAAAAAATAAGACCCTATATCTCACTGTATTGTTACTATCCTACTATATACAGATTTTTATATTCACGTTCAACTTGGATATTTTATACTCATATTTTTTCTATTTTGAGATGATTCTATTTTATAATTATTTATTTTTCTACTCTTTTTAATTTCTAATTATGTACAATGCCCTGTTTTATATGTTGCTGCAATGAAAACAATTCCCAATTTGGGATGAATAAAGTATATCTTATCTTATTTATTAGGTCTTATACAAGGTGCAAAGACAAATATACTTGGCAAGATTTCAAGTGTTGGTACTGTACTCTGCCTTTTTAAACCCTTGACAGTTCTGCATGATTTGTTCATATTTAGAGAACTCTGTGGATCCTGAACAGCATCAATGGTTGCCACGGCGACGGTGTCAAAATGAAAGGGTCCAGCATCCAGAGCTGGGTGCAGTGGAGACCCCCTCCCCAGAAGCTTCTGTACACCACCACTGCCACTACACCCCCAAGTGCTTCCTCACCGTGCACAAAGGTAAACCAGCACTGTTTCTGTAGGGATCTGTGGACATGGGAGATATGTAGTTTCATAGAAGTCAACTGAAGGAGAGAGAAGTGTATTTTCTCTTGCCATGTGGAAGAGCTTTCTCACTGTGATCTGCACAGGAGGACAAGGCACCACCCGATCTACTCCGTCTCGGTATGGAGAAGAGGCTTGGCATGAAGACACCACAAGGACCACCATCAGAGCTGAGAATGAGGTGGAGGCTCACAGGGAGGCCAACAACTACAAGGTGGGCAACGACTGGCTTTAGAGAATACTCCCCTAACCCTAGAATCAGAATACCAATTTCTCACCCCCTGTTACACTGAATGTTTTTATTCTCTGATGCCTTCACAGGGAATGAAATATCAAAAACAGATATAGATAGATAGATACTTTATTTCACAAGTTGGGAAATTGTTTTCTCACAGCAGTGCTTTGACAATCAATGTACAAGAATTAAAACATTCTTCGAAAATATAATAAAATACAAATAAAATAAACATTAAAAACGAAATATACATATTATCAGTAGAAAAGACATATTCAGAAAAGTATCGATGCACTAAAATATACTGAATAAATTAGAATACTGATCTACTAAAGGGACAGCAACATTTAAACATAGTGTACTATATTAAAAGGTTTTATTCAAAGTAAAATATATCCTGTGATATGATCCAAGTCATACTGTATGCTTACTACTTTCCAATATACAGTATGTCTTTTTGCTAAAACTTTACTATTTATAACACTTTGGCATAAATGTGGTAAAGTATGATCAGAGATGGCAAAAGCACACGCATCCTTTACTCAAGTAGAAGTACAGATACTCGTGTTCAAAAATACTCTGGTAGAAGTACTGACTAAACTTCTTTACTCAAGTAAGTAAAGAAGTATGGGCTTCAAAATGTACTTCAGTAAAAAGTACCCATAACTACCAACTGTTTTAAAGAGTACCTGACCTCCCTTTATATTAATAGAACAATAATGTCATTGTTAGCTAATGAATGTTTCCATGCTGAACAACGGCAACATGACAACGTTTTCATTGGTCCCTCTTCTTTAGAGAAGACCAGGAAATGATGGATACACGGACCGTGTTCAAATCAATAGGCACGCAATGACTCTAAATAATAATGATCACGCCACCAAACACACATTCAAACAAAAGGAACCAGCCTGTTTGGAAAATGTGAGAAGTAGAAAGTACAGGTATTTGTGTTCAACATGTAAGAAGTAAAAGTAAAAAGTCGTTGTGGAGTAAAGTACTGATACCAGAAACTTAAGTATTTGTACTCCACTACTTCCCATCTCTGAGTATTATGGTAGTTTATAAGTAGTCCTCTTGACATTCATTGTTCTGTGCCATGCTTGTTTCAGTTTGGCTTCAGGAAGTGGAAGGGTCACGTGACAGAGAAGCCCATTGAAGACCGATCGGACATCATCAAAGAGCTCTACTCTGACCTCAGTGTTGTTAAGCCTCAAGAAGGTCTTCTTCTCTTTTCTATGCTTAAACTTTCATTCTGTTGCAGCCTACAGGAAAGCAATAACGCGTACTTGTTATCTTTCCTCTCTTTCAGGCTCGGTGATCACCTTTGGGAACGTCATTTATGTCATTTTATTCGGATGGTGGATATCATTAATCTACTTCCTCATTTGCCCTGTAATGTTCCTAACCATCATCGGTGCAGCTTATGGTACGTATCCTGTACACCAGCTGCATCATGTCATTTGTGTTTTATATATTTTAAGTGTGTCGTTTTAATTATGTATTTATTTAAAGTTTCTTTGAGTTTCTTGAAAAGCGCTCCATAAATAAATTCATTTCTTTCAGGCAAACTTTGTTTTAGGTTGGCGTTGTACTTTATTTGGCCATTTGGGAAGTCCATAGAAAAGGTATTTTGAAATATAGTATTAAACGTTTCCATATTTTAGTGCCCTTTAAAAAGAAGCTGAGATTTAGATGACGATGAAAAGTCATTGACCATATCCTGTTGATTGTCTGCCCTTCTCAGGCAGGAGAAGTAATTAGGAGATCCATTGCGAAGCCTCCGAAGTGTGAGGTGATCCCAGAGGAGAGCGATAGTTCGGGGAACAAAGACTCTGCTCCTCTCCTGATGTCCTCCCCGTTCCCTGTGGAGATCCCCGTCCCAGAGCCAGCCGCTGGGAAAACGTCCAATCACTGGGTAAGAAGGTCAGAATCACCCTAATCACTGGATGCAAGTAATATTTATATATTAATAATGCTTTTGAATATACTTTGTCTCTCTGCAGTGTCGCGTCAGCACTTATGTTTGGCTGTTGCTAGGTTACCCTGTCCTGGCGGTGGTCCACTCGCTGGCCTGTGTGCTCTCCTGGCTGCTGGTCTTCACCATACCTGTAGCCAAGATGAACGCCCGCACAATGACCATCGTCCTCCTCATGGCTCCAGAGGACGTTCAGGTTCACAAACTGGAAAAGGTACAATACAGTTATTGTCAGATCCAGTCTGAAATTTTTCTTGCATCACAGCAGCTCAATTTGCAACATCAAACAAGGACAAATATTAAGACATGATACAAGGAAAACAACATCACAATCACTTAAGAGTAAAGACCCTTTAGCATACATTTGACCTGGGATTTAGCTCTGTATTTAATTTGAGGATAGACTGGTGCACAAAGGAGTGCTTCAGTCTAACTTTATCAAACCGTGGGAACCTGCATCTCTGATTTGATGGTCACAATTCATATTCTCTGTTCAGGACATGGTTGGGGTCAGAGACACTGTTGTTGTGGTAGGCTGATTTACAGAGTTTCTCTCTACATTCTGGTGGAGCAGTTTTGTACAAGTTGTTAAATATCAGCAGACAGTGTAGAGAAAGATGCAAGAATGTGTGCAGTATTCCCCTTCCTCAGCTGCACCGGTCAAGCGTATCAAAACATCAAGTACAAGGTTATATTAGTCTCCTTATTAGCTATGGTAACATGTTACTGAAGTGTGTGGCAAATCTAATTAGTGCATCTACTGACTTTTCCTTAACGGGTCAGTTCAGCCAAATCACACTGAACCGTGTTCTGTTGTTCTTCCCCACATTCCCCACGCTGAACATAGTTTGGATTTGATTTGCAATTGCCTTTCAAATCTATTCCTCTTGCGCTGTGGGCAGTTTGCTTTTGGAATGGACCTCAAAAGAAAAGCTAAATTGACCTTAGCGTTGGAGGATTATTCAGTAAGCAAAATGCTGTTCATAGAAAGACATGTGGCTCAGATGTTTTCAAAATCCACATACCACTAGAAGAGAGCACAGAAAAGGTTTTCTTCAATTATCTAACCTTGCCCTTTAAACCATATGGACCATTAAAATCTTATTTAAATTTTTTTTTTTTTTTTTTAAAAGTGTAACTTTGGGGTTAAATGTCTTTTGTTCTCTTTTGCAGACCGCTGTGTGTGAGACCAGAGTCATCTTATGCTGTTATCGAGCCTTTAATGTGTATTGCTACAAATACAGCGTACAAGGAATCAACATTATCCCCCTCAGTATCCTTTTCCTGCTGTTGATTACAGTAAGGGGCTTGTAATACAAATTCCAAGAGGTCAACTATTGGTAAATTAGATTGCATTTCAATATACTGTACCCTTGTTTTCTCACAAAGTGTAATATGGAGTGTGTACAACCAGCGGCCCTGATCGGCATGTCATGTATGGTCTGAACAAGTGGCATCATGTCCTGCAGATGCACATGTGGATCCAGTCTGCTGTCCATCAATGTGTTCTCCTTAAGTCCCTGCTCCCTGCAGACCTGCTCCCCCTGGTGTTCATCACGATCATTATTGGATACACTGACTGTAAACACACATTCTGCAGTGCAGAGACCAAGTTTATCACCGCCATCATCTCCATCATCCCTCTCTCCTACTATATTGGCATGGGAATAGCCAGGTACGTTTAGTGTGTCCCTGATACTTGTGAATAAAGAGGTGAGTATTGGACTGTATAACCATCACGGCCCCTGGTAGACCCCCCAAACAATACAGACTGTTGCAATCTTATGCACCAATTGTAGTGTGACATAATCACTTCTAGTAAAAACAAACATTTATTTGATATTGTCTCAATACTTTAATATGTTAATGATCGCACTTTCTAACATGCTGCTACTCATTGTTAGCCATAGTTGTTTTCTTATGTCTTTTATTTTAGTAATTTTTATTACTTATGTGTGCTTTTCTTTTTGTATTATTGCTTGCCTTGCTGCTATGCCACTTTTGCTGTAACACTTTAAATGTCCCCGCTGTGGGGCTAATAAAGGAATTCTGATTCTGACTTGTGTTGTAATTTTGCTCCTGAATTCTGATGACTATGCGTATTTCCACAGCATTTCTGCTCAGAGTAACTTTGCAGTGGGGGCGGTGGTGAATGCCACGTTCGGCTCCATCACAGAGATGACTTTCTACATCACAGCACTGCTGCAGGGACACAATGCTAAAACCAAATGTTATGAGGAGATCGTCAAAGCAGCGCTCACTGGGACCCTGCTTGGGTGTATACTGTTCGTACCGGTGAGGGCCTGAGAAGCAACAACTCATCAGTTAACATGCAGCAGTATGACCCTCTGAATGACTGTCTGTGTTTGACAGGGTATCTGTATGATCATCGGGGGCATCAAACACAGAGAGCAGAGATTTAACAGTCGTTCAGCTGGAGTGAGCTCTGCTCTGCTCTTCATCTCTGTAGGAGGTCTGTATCGTAGTGGCATATTCAATTAATTTCAAACAATATGTCCTCCACTACCAGATTCATAATATTTGATCCTCATGATGTTATATTGTCCCTAGGTGTTTTTGCTCCCACCCTCTTCTCAAAGACGTTTGGGGATCTGGTGTGTGAGAGCTGCACCAATGTTCCAGGAAACAGCAGCGTCCCGTTCATCTGCAGGGACTGTCACTACGACACGGTGAGCCGCTTCACTCAGAGCCTCATGTGTTTCACAACGTTGTATCAACTGCTCATGGACTTGGAAGGGACATTCCTCACTCTTCTACCATAAGGATTACACCGACAGCTTGATATATATAAATTCTTTAATTGCCATATTTACATACTCTTTTGTTTTACACTCCTGCTGCACCGATAGTGAAACATTTCCAGTTCACAAACAGGTCATCGTACAAAACCAATACAGAAGCAGTTTACAAGATTAAAACAACAAATGCAGCAGACAAAAATTAAAATAAATGAGAAATTCCTTGCATAGTCACTAATAATAAAGATTAATGCGGGGGGAAAATAAATAATTAATAATGAATCAAGCTAAAAAGGTACAATGGTTGAGGGGACTTGGCCTTGATCATACTAAATTAAGTACACTGTATACTAAGCACTACATTATTATAGTAGCAGGCATTACAGGCATCCATCTCTAGAAACATTTTGGTTTCTGAAGTCGTAAACCAAGGCATGTGTGATTTATTTAATTTGTATGTACATTTATAATATTTCTTTCAATTTCGTATAACTCCCCACCCTTCCGGTCGTTACACTGTATGTTGGTGGTTCAGGTTTAACCATCAAAGCGTGATGCACTTGATGGCTGACGCTAATAGGATTTGTAGTAAATATGCTTTATCTCTGCCAGTAACCCCTTCTGGGAGTACACTAAGGAAAACTACTGTAGGGTCCTTGGTTTCTCTTAATGAACATCTTCCTGGAGAGCATCAAATACATCCTTCCAGTTTTCACTCAGTTCTGGGCAGGACCACAGACCACACCATACAGTGGGGCAAAAAAGTATTTAGTCAGCCACCAATTGTGCAAGTTCTCCCACTTATAAAGATGAGAGGCCTGTCATTTTCATCCTAGGTATACCTCAACTATGAGAGACAAAATGAGAAAAAAAAAATCCAGAAAATCGCATTGTCTGATGAAATTATGGTGGAAAATAAGTATTTGGTCACCTACAAACAAAAAAGATGTCTGGCTCTCACAGACCTGTAACTTCTTCTTTAAGAGCCTCCTCTGTCCTCCACTT